TTTTCTCTTTAATTTACTCATTGATTGTTGTTGTTGTTAAGCACTTTGATAACAGGTTCTGTTTTAAATGTGCTCTATAAATAAAGTTGACTTGACTACTACTTGGCGGTTTTTCACTTATTGCATGGGGTCCGGAACTGAACCCCCCAAACTAAAGAGAGACTACTGTATACGTTAAATATGAAAAGCAGAAACCAATCCACCAGCATTACAAGCAAAACGACGCAGTTTATAACATTTGCACTTCAGGATCGTCATAATAAGAAAGTCTGTGTTTGATCGAGGATGCTTTGTGCTGATCGGTGTCATACTTCAGAGTGAGCGGTAGGACAGCCTGGTGGTTGTAGTGCTGCTGCTGCTGGCTCAGGATCTGAAGGTGGAGGAACTGCTGCTGCTGCTGCAGGAGACGGGCGTACGACGAGTCCATTGGCACTTCACCGAGCTCCTGCTTCTGGTCGGGGGGAACATACTGATGATACTTCAACTTTTTCACCCGCGGCTTGGGCTCTTTGCTCTTTTTGCTGCGGCTTTTGTCAGCCGGTGGCTTCGCCAAGCTTTGCTGTGGAAAACAGCACACAAAAAAAAAAATAGGAGTGTGCAAAGCTGGAGAAGACCATCTGGAGAATATTTAGCTCCAGTAAGTGATCTCGGTCAAGTTTTTCAAGGCGAATACAGCTTGCACTGCCAGTACCAACACCGAAAGACTTGGAACTGATCCTTTATTTGTATTTTTTTTTTAAATTTAGTTTTCATAGTTAAGGTGTAACATTGTTCTGACAGCTGGTGACAACGACAGGATGAGGAAACGGGCGAGGGAAATATGACCTTCATTGTTTTACCACCTGCAATTTCAGGATGCAGCGTACATGAAAATGTCTTGGCACAACAGCAGGTTGTGCTGAAGCTTTGAAACCAGAAACGCAGCATGAGTTAAACAAGCATGCAGCCTCTAATTTGTCAAATTCATCCCCCTATCATGATCCAGAAGAAGGGAAATTCATCTTACTGTATGCTCACAAATGGACAGTAAGAAATGCATTTGCTTCTGCAGCACTATTTCACTTCTGCTTCAAATTTTAGGAGGGAACAGTTTGTCTTTGGCTCTTATGTGGCTGATGCAGATTTAGGTCCCTGGATGTGTAACACACTTTAAACTTCATCGCTCTTTGACTTGCATTCGACTGCTGTTCTCCCTTTACTGCTCCGACTTTCATAATGACAAAACCCAGGCTCGGACAGGCTTATTACATTTCCAAGGGGAAAAATAAAAACACAATAAATAAAACTGACACAAAAGTTAACACCGCACAGGTCAACACTGTAGTAGCTATTTATAAAAGTAAATTAATTCTCTCTTTTTTTTTTAAAACACAGCTATCAGTTTAAAGAACTCACTTTTACAAGAACCGGGCCTGGTGGAATGACCGGGTGACGTGTCTGCCGGTTGCTCTTTAGCTCGGTGGTGGAGATGAGGCCGACTACATTTGATGGAGAGTGCGAGCTGAGCGTTGGAGAGAGCTGAGAGGAACAGAGACATAAATCAGAAATCACATCTGGTCTGTTAGTGCAACGAGGCTGGAACTTATGGTAACTATCATCCCAGGAAAAAAAAAAATCTACGAAAATGACACTTCAGCTGGAAAAGCACAACCAAACGAAGCATGACGAACACTCAGAATAATAAGCTGTGCGTGTGCAATAATTAGGTTGGACATTTTTACACTTTCAAATGAAAGTGAACCTGAATAAAGTGAATCATAAAGATCCCCACAAGCAAATTTAAAGAGGTTTTAATCATATAACATGTCAAGAAGGCAAGCTTACTGTGTGAATGTATTCACACTATATGATCCATTTTTCAGCATCTTTCTCGTTCAGAAATTTTTATGATATTTCAACAAATCATAAAACATTTGCCTCATTCAGGAAAAGCCTCCTATGATTTTTGGTATTGGTGCAACTTTAGCTTTTTGAAATATTTAGCCTTCTCTGCCACTTTTTGTCTCATAGAAAATGAACTGAGCTCATTTTACATCCTTCAGATCCGTTTACAACCTTTTACTGCTCCTTTCACATTTTGTTCTGCTTCAGTTTCTTTCAGCTGCCTTGTGCAAATTTAAACGTTTTATTCAGCTACTTTCAGCTAATGTCAGCTGTTCTGCACTCCTTTCAGCTTTATTCTGCTAACTACAACATTTTTCTGCTTCTTCTAACTTCTTTCTGCTAATTTCAGCTTGATATGCTCCTTTATGCTTATTTCTGCAGCCATTTCTGCTATTTTAGCTACTGTTTAGCTGTCTTTATAGTAATTTGAGCTTTTTCAGCTAATTCCACATTTTTTGCACTCATTTAGATTTTTTTCAGCCTAATTCAGCAAAAATGCACTCTCTCCCCTTCCTTATGGTAGTTTGCTTCTTTCTGCCTTTTCAGCTACTTTTCAGGTATCTTACTAATTTCAGCCTTTTTTTAAGCAAATGTACCAATTTCTGTGCTCATTTGTGCTTATTTAAGCCAAATTCTAAATAAAGGTTGAACGAATGGAAAAAATTCAGCACAAATGTGTTATTTCTGCTTTCTTCTGCTAACATAGGCGTGTTCTTCAATTTCAGCGACATTTCAGCTGTTTTTAGCTAATTTCAGCAGTTTTTCAGCAAGTTCTTCTTAAAGAAGCATTCACGCTGCATTTTTGCAGGAAATGCAGTTACTCTAGTTTACTATTGATGTCATTGTGGCTATTTTTAGTATTTCGTAAGAGGAATAATCATTTTTCCAGTTTTCTTACCTGTGAGGGGGAACTGGAGCTAGAGGGAGAACAAGAGGCCTCTTTTGGAGATGTGGAGAAGTGAGACTGCTGGCTGTTGGGCTGTTGTGGCGAAGATGCGTCACTGCTGTCCTCATCGAAGCTGAAAACATCTGGAACACGTGGCGTCTCTGAGATTTCAGCTGCAGTCAGCATCCAGGAATAAGAAATGAAGCAACGGTAACGTTAAAGTTGAGTCTTTCTGAAGTAAAACAAACGTATATGATTATTTGTGCCTTTAAAGTTTTTCATCACCATTTTATGTTCACTAGTTATTATGTAAGCATGTAAAAGTTTGCAGTTTGTGGCTCAGCATTGCTTTGAACCTGAACCGAATGAAGTTGGCAAACAGCTACCATTTCCAAGCTTCTCCACTCCACTGTCAACCGGCAGGATTTTCTTCTCAACCAGCTCCATGGGTCCAGGTCTCTGGGAGATTTTCTCATTGAGATCATTCTCCAGTCTGGCTCGCTTCAGTTTCATCTGTGTGGCCTGCAGCGAGGGCTCCGCCTGCGTTTCTGATAAACACGTAAAGGATGTTCAACTACGACCTGGCCACCCTCACGCAGACTCTCTGCCTGATGCATCGCGGTGACTCACAGCAGGATCAGAAAGACAAACACTCAAAAACATCCTTGTGATTATAAGATGGCGGAACAGACAGGAATACGTGCAGACGGAGGAATATGAACTCATTCTGCACGTATTACTCAAAGAGAACACACGGGAGGGTTACCTTCAAGGATGTGCATACGGACCAGCTCAGAACGTTCTGGTCGGCTGCAAAGTTTGTGTTTTAAAAAGTTTCCAGTCTGTAAAAAAAACAAGTGAAAATTATTTAAAGGTAGATAAACAGATCCTCAATCAGATGCAAGGTTGAAAACATTTGATGGCGTCTCACCCTGGCTCTCTCCAGGCTGCGAAGCTGCTTATGGAAGGCGGTGGGAGTTTTCAGAGCTGATGGAAGATGTTAAAGTTTAATGATAACCCATTTCAACATTTCGTGTCTAATATTTGAAAGTGTTTGATTATGGTTTTGTTCATATCTGCACTTTTGTTTGTTACCAAAACATATGACAAACCATTGGACGAATTTTAACGAAACATTCAGGAACTAATCAATAAATGAACACCTACATCTCATTAACTTTATAATCACAAACTTACAGCTAACATCCTGCAAAATTGCACAAATTAGGCATAACATTGACTTTAAATTTTGACATAAACAGCCATAACACAATTTCTCAAGATGATCCAAGTCCAAAAGTTTGCCATGAAAGGCTGCAGGCAATACGCATTCTTTCAAGTGTTGCTAGACCTTGATTTTACATAATAAGCCACAGAAACGTGGTAAAAACATAAAATGTGTTTGCAGTTTTCTACTCATTAAAATAAGACTTGGATTTAACTGATGGACAGTTTGATATTTTAACATTTATTTAAAAGTTTCACTGACTTGAAATAAGAAAATAAAAATATTAACTGCTTACAAATCACATTGTACATGCATTGAATGCACACAATAATGTGAGCACAAGGCAGCAGCATCAATTTTCTGTCAACTTGGCTGAATATTTAGTGGAATTTGTTTTACATGCCGTTTCGTGCACATTTTTTGTTTTTTCTGGTCTACTTGAAGAAGCAGAGTTTCGTGGGAGTCAAACAGGAAGTGTCAGCTTTACTCAGACAACGAGATTGTCCTGTGCTGTGAGTTACTCATTGATCGCTGCGAAGCAACTCATCCAGCTTTAGGTGAGGTCTGGGTCAAAGCCTAGTCACCTCTGATACAACTGTTGCTGTTTAGTTTAATAAAAGACAACAGTGGAGCTCTGAGGAGTGTGTTAGTGGGAGGCTCGTACAAAGCAACACATTCCTTTGTATTTGTCCAGAGGACCAGATTTTACTTTTTTAGATTTTTCTACCTGGATTGTTGAGCATGCATCAGGATATTTAACTTGCATACCATAGGAAAAATTCTTAATTTATGTGCAAGAAAGTTCTGTAGCAGAAAATATCAAAAGAGGTTTGTGAGTGAACTAGGAATGGCCAAGTTGCAGAAGATGCAAATGACCTTTAGTGCAGGCTCTGAGTCATGTGGCTGTGGAGCCAGAAAGCAGACGAAAACAAGCCTGCAGGATGTTTTCCAGGCCAGAAGAGTAAAATAAGAGGAATCACTGTATGTCTTTTACTATCTGCTTTCCACATGTCGGCAGGGTTTTGTCACACTTTCAGCTTGTCGTTTATTGGCGTACTCTGAAACAAAAGCTTCACCCAACGAGAGTACACTCCCTGTTTGCAACATCAAAGGATGCTATTAAAGATGAGCTGCTGCGTTCAGGTCTGGGAGTCGTTTATCATGATGAGTACAAAGATGTCAATAGCAGTGATGCATGATAAACTAAACGCCTTGCAATCCCTTAAAAAATGCATGTCGCCTGCCACTGTTCATGGCAGAGTTTTACACTGTTAAGATCATTTTATCTTAAGAAATGCTCAAGTTGTAGCCATTTTAGTCAAATCTTATACCATATTTTTTCGCTGTATAAGTCACAGTTTTTGCATAAATTAGCATGCCTGCGACTTACACAGTGAAGCAACTTATTTATGTTTTTTCCCCATATTTATAACCCAATTTTTGGCTGAGATCTGGTCATTCATTTTGACATGGAAAATATTGAACACTACCATTTTCAGCCACTAGAGGGCCTTCAACTAATATGTCAAGCCACGTGTTTTTTTAATAGGTAAAAGCGACTATTAATGAGACACTTGGCTTGCCATACCAAGCCACCTTCGTCTCGTTTCGGAACTCATGGCGCAAACGTCAAATCAGCTGCATTTAGCCACGCCGCCCAGGCGAAATGCAGCTGATTTGACCATTAAAGTTCATTTATTAAGAAAAAGTTCAACTGAGACACACCTTTACTATAATGTCGAGCAAACAAATAATTGTTGTTAGGTGCTAATCTTGTTAAATTCTTGTTAAAAGTCCTCCCATGCACGCCCCCGTGGCCGCCATTTGGCAGCCAATCGATTTCTGGCACAACAGCGGCACACATTTCTGGGTGGTCAGTGGTGACACGTTATAGATGCGACTTATTAATGTTTTTTTCCACTTTCTTAGACATATTTGGACTGATGCGACTTATACGGCTGTGCAACGTGTACGGCGGAAAGTAATTGACATTTTATATGCTGCGTTCTCGAGAGGTCTCAGAGAACGACGTGTTGGAAATGTCTCTCAGCTGCTAACAGACCAAATTTATGCTCGAAATCAAACACAAACAAACACAAACAAAAAACATAATCAAATTCTTAAATAAAAAAATTAAAAAACACAATAAACGTTACATTACACTGGATACTTACGAGGCATGATACCTTGCTCCACAAGCTGCTCCCGAGTCCTCCTCTGCTGCAGACAGTGCTGAAGGACTGCAACCCCCCCACACATACAAAGATCAGAATTTCAGAATTAAAGAGTTAACTTTCAGTGCTAACTCTGTCGAGAGATTTCACAACCATTTGTGGCTTTAAACTGTGAAACCTACAAGACAGATGAAAAAAACGGGCCATTATTCTCAATCAATATGTGACCCTGAAGACCTAATCCTTGCTCCCCACCACAGATATTCTATTCACTTCCTGTGGTTTGAACCAAGGCTGTCAGGAGTATCACAGTTCACCTCAAACAGCATGACTGGCTGAGAGCCTTCCTAACGAGAGGTAAAAACGCAACGTACGTTTTAACCATGAAGCAAACATTTGAACGTGAGCAAATCTGGATTTAGGCAACTCAGCCGTGCCTGTTATAAATTGTTTTCAAAAGATAATCTTGCCGTGCATGGCTGATCAGTAATGTTTGTGTGAAACATAAAAGAATTGGCTCCCCTCCAGCTGAAATCTCAGAGTCTTGTATCTAAGCTTTATATAAAGTTCTTGGACGATCCTCGGTGTTATTCTCCCAAAAATGTAAACTGTAGTAAGAAGCAAGTTTAAACATTTATAAACAACAGAACACAGGGATGGTTTTTGCTTCACTTTCTGCAGAATAACATGCAGGGAGAAAAAAGCTGGAGGAGACCGGCGACAAATGAGGCGGCGGCGGCGGCGGCGGCGGCGGCGTGAGGGCCCTAATGTCACCACTGTGGCAAAACGAAGCCAGCTTCGCTCGAGTTTCTTAGCGGCTTGGGAGAAACAGAAAAACACACAACGCAGACGTGCTCAACTCTCCTGGGAGAGACGCGGGGTCTGAACGGGCCTCTGTGACTCACTCGAGCAAAAATAAACCGGGCAGCTGTGAGAACAAGGCCTGGGAACCATGAAAATTTGGGGAGTTGTTAAGGGGGTGGGATGGCCAGTTAATGTAGGGTCGAGGGGATGCAGGGGCTTTGGCTGGAGTGACGAGAGCTGAGGCGAAGGACGGCTCAAATCCACTCTCAGCAGCTCATCCGCACCAGAACAGAGAACTTAGTGTGCCTTCTCTGCCTGCTGTGTTTCCCATTAGAAACCCAGGCCACGGGGCGGATATGCTCGGCTAAACACTCATCATAACCAGGAGATTGGAGAAAACAGTCCTTTGGTTTGTTTTAATATTTATATCCACTGTGACTTGGAAGAAAAGCCAGAAGAAATACAATTTATGAGTGCATGCTACATATCAATAACCAGAAAAGCTGCCTTCCAGCAGCAGGAGGGAACGCAGGCTTTAATCTGAGCATCACGGAGGGGGGACAGCTCATCCTCAGGGTCCTCCTCACCGTGTCCGCTTGTGTTCAAGCCTGAACCCTGGCTAACCTTCCTGCGATGCAAACTGGCTGCTTCTCACCAGTAAAGAACAAGCAAAGGTTATGGAGAAACGCAGAAAGCGGGCTCTGCTCAAATCCTTGCCTGCTGATGTAATCTCTAATCTCGGACTTGTGTTGTTCTCAACAAATCATCCCTGGAGGTCTCCGCATCACATCAGTCCTTTCATTTAAAAAAAAAAAAGAAACTGTGTTGGCCAGTCTGTTAGAAACAGCCTGACACTGGGTTATGTTGACTTAACTGTTATAAATACCAAAAGAGCAACGATTTAAACTCTTCTACACAAACAGAGAAAGTCACGTTCTATGCAGATAACACCCTCATATTATCCTGAAGCCATTTTAAAAGAGTCTATTTTGTTTTGTTGTGAAGAATAATGAAACGATTACAAAGTCAGGCTGTGTTAAAGGTGAAGAAATATATATATATATATATAGTTTCTTATTATCGTATTTTTCAGACTATAAGGCGCACTTAAAATCCTTTAATTTTCTCAAAATAATAAAAGAAAGCAACAGTGAGCCTTTTAATCTGGTGCGTCTTATGTTTTAATTCTGATTGTGCTTACTGACCTCTTATGTGGTTATTATGAATGAGTTGAATAAATTTTGACTGTTTTGTTTCGCTTAACGTGTTTTATAATCCGGTGCGCCTTATAGTCCGAAAAATAGTAAATTAAAACATACAGATGTGTTTTTATCGCCTGCTGCCAAAGAGGCGATACTATTTTTATACGCGTGTCACTAAAATATCTCATGAACCACTGGGCTAATTTATCGAAACATGCCATCATTAGATGTATATTTACAAATGACTGACTTTTCACCCATTTCAAGATGGCTGCCACAGCCAAATGACCTCACAAAACACAAAAAAAGGCTAAAACCCTGTCAGTTTAGCAGAAATTGATATAAAATCTGTTGTGGTCACATCTGAGACAAATCCATAGCACATGTAGTCTGAGCGCTAACAGACTGTGCAATTTCTTAGTTGTGACTTTTAACTATGTGGAGTCAATTCAGGCTGTCTGTTAGCAAAATAACTTGTGAACCATTGAACGGATTTAAATGAACTCTTCAGGAAATAATCTTTAGATAAACATCTATAATTGATTAACTTTCTGAGTCAACTCAATTCAAGATGACTGAAAAGGCCAACCCATTTCAGAATGCACAAAAAAAGCTGTAACTCAGTCCATTTACGTATATTGTAGTAAAATGTGGTAGTAGTTGAGAATCATTCGCAACACATACTCTAGTGGTCATTTTGAAAGATATTTGATTTAATCTAAAAAAGTTAAATCTGGTCCTCTGGACATTCAAAAAAAAAAAAAAAAATAATAATAAAATTTTTTTTGAATGTCCAGAGGACCAGATTTAACTTTTTTAGATTTTTCTACCTGGATTATTGAGCATGCATCAGGATATTTGATTTAAATTTGAGCATTTACGGCTTGAGACAAATTTTTTTCTATTAGCAAAATATCACGTAAACCACTGAATGGATTTAAGTGAAATGTAATCAAACAACCGTTAGATATGTATCTAGTATTACAGCAATTAAATTTTGGAAACATTTAACGAAGGACTAACGTTATCAAGCACAAAATATGGCGACTGATCAACACATCGTACAGACATTAGGATAGAATTTGAAGTGGTAGTACCTGAGAGTCATTCACTACACATACTTTGAGCATGAAATCTGACAATGTTACACGAGCAAGTACAACTTCCCTCTGAAAGATATCTGGTCAAAAATACTTTAAACTGGTTCAGAATCTATATATTCACTCAGAATATACCTATAAAGTTTTAAAGCTTAGACCTTGACCTCAGAGAAAAGTTCATTTTATTTTGTGTTTATGTCCTGCGGTGTTTGACTTTTGTTCAGTTTCTAACAACACCACGTGCAACGCAGCTCAGAATGTCACGGCTAAATGTAATTATAATTAATAATTCTGGGAATGACGGTGCCAAAATACTCTAGAACCTGAAGAGCAGCAAAACGTCTGCTCTGTTTTGTTTCACGCCTCGTACTGCCTGCAAGGTAAAACTGTAGCTTCTAAAAGCGAACAAGGAAGATTAAAACTATGCAAATAATGATCAGAATCTTGTTCTGTGGCACTCCTGACAGTTGCACTTCGTTTGATGCTCCATGCATGGATATACCGTATTTTTCGGACTATAAGGCGCACTTAAAATCCTTTAATTTTCTCAAAAAGCGACAGTGCACCTTATGTATTAATTCTGCTTACTGACCTCGAATCAATTTTATGTGGTTATTGTGAATGAGTTGAATAACGTTTGACTTATCTGACTGTTTTGTTTCGCTTGATGCGCCTTATAGTCCGAAAAATACGGTATGTTAAAAAAGACATGCTTACATCATGTGACAGAAAAGCAAAACTGTTTCAAAGAGAGCAACAAAATGTAAACAAGCGTGTGTTTCTGCATCGATTCAAAATGAGTGGAGAGACGCTGCAAGCGTCAGTAAAACGTGTGAAAAGCACAAGTTTGAATTAGATTCACACACATACAGCTTAGAAATAGTTTGTTATATGAAGAAAAAGCACCTGATTTGAATTTCCCCCTACAAATGGAGGGGCTCTCCACATCAAGGCAGGCCATGGAGGATAGTACGGCTTTGCTTGGAGACCAGATCTGGAGTCCCATGGAGTGATGAGGCCAGGATCTCAGGAGTCACAGAGAGGAGGGAGAGACCTCGCTCTGAACGACAGCCGGCTCGTTTATTCTCCGTCTCTCTCTGCTTGACTCAGCGAGGAAAGTGTGTGTGTGTGTGTGTGTGTGTGTGTGTCAGGAGGAGGGAACACACTGCTGCTCAGATTAACCCTCTCCAGGTCTGCAGCTGAAAAGGACAATTTAGGAATGATTGATTATTACCATTCTCCAAAATAATTAATGTTTTTTTTTTTTTTTTAAAGATGATCAAAACAAGCAGTTGGAAATTTTTATTGTGCGCATCTTTTAAAAGGGAAAAAAGTACGAGTGATGAATGTTTGGTTGCAATAATAAATAAGTAAATAAAAAAAACATTGAACCTGAGAGAAAATTATCCATTAGACAAACAGTTTTCTTTTTTAGATGAGTGATATTTTTTTAAATTGTTGTTTTGTTTTCAACACCATTCATTCAGAGCAATGTTAATTTAACCTTAGCGCTTCCTTTTTAATAAAACTTGCCGCTAATGTTTATTTAATAAAAAACTCTGAAAAATCCCAGTATGGAGACAAAAATGTGCAATGAATGTGGTTCGTTTAAAATGGCTCCATAATGTTGGATATGTGGCATTCAGGATCACAAATACAATTGGTCGCGAGTTAGATCATATGTTTTTCATGACTCATGAAATGTTTCAGAACCACGGAGTGATCACAGAAGGTCTGACGTTGAGGTGAGCCTGCAGACATGCAGGATGCTCTGATTCCTGAGGTGTCTGAGGAAGACCTCGCCTGCTGGGGAGGGCTTTGTTTACATACACAGTCTACAGCCAGGTCAACTGTGACTCAGTCAGTGTTTTGTTTACATTCAGTGTGGACCCGCATTTCAGAACTGCATTCAGAGTATCTGAAAAACTGCTGGTGTAAACTCTTTTAAACAGCAACATTT